GAGTAAACACGGAAGTGGGGCCACATTTTCCAGAGCTTTCCCTGCTCCTACCTGAGTCTGGTCTTGGGAACCAGATCACTATAACAAGAGACAGTGTCCCTGCGGGTCTTCTGTAAGGATTCCATGGCTCCAGGAACCTTAAACAACCTTAATTGCTGAGCAAACATTATGTCTGCGAAGGGTGGGTGGGATGAAGACAGAGTTACGTGCAATTAGACATCCTCCTTGTTTACATCCTCGAAGTACCATGAAATCACTTCTCCCTGGACTTGCACTTTCTTATAAGCTTAGAAGATCCTGGTGCAAGTCTCCCCATGTGGCCTGAAGGGCTTCTGGGCCCAGACTCTGTTTACTGCCTTTGCTTTCCCTAATCACCTTTCGGTGGTTTGATGCTATATATTTAGTGGGTGCTCAGAGACTAACACCAGGGGTGGGGCAGAAAAGCCCAAAAGGATGTCATTTTCACCTTTCATGAGAAATAAATTTGGGGAGAAATTCACACTATTCGACAACTTGTAGCTCAGTCAGGGGCTGGGATTCCTACCCAGTCTGAAGTGCTTTAAATTTGAAATTGGAAAACGATATGGGGGGTGGTGAGGAGGCAGAGAAAAGGAAATGGAAGAGGGAGAAGAGGATACACATGATCTGATGTGCGAGTGGCCAGGGTCGGGCTCTGGTGTTATAGCAAAGCACCTGGTCCATGTCAGCCTCATCACCTGTTTGGATCTCAGTTTTTCCTTATGCGAAACACAGTGCCAGATCTTGGACAGACAGGAGCTTTCATTACAAACCTTCAAAGAAGGGGCCCAGAGTTTTGTGGAATCCTGAGAGTCACAGAAGAGGGACTCTGCTGCACTGGAGTAGAGGAATAAGAAGGGGCAGGACAAGAACAGCCAACACAGGCCAAAGCTCAGGGAAGGGTATGCAAGGCCTCCCTGAGGACCGCAGTGAAGAAGCCATGGGTAAAATAGAGGCTTCCATAGAGAATCTAGGGAGGGTGAGATGGCTTCAGGGGCTCTGTGGAGCTTTTCAGAGCAGTGATGGGATGTTCTGAGCAGTGGGTGATACATAGGGCATGGGACACCATCCATCCAGCTCACTCTCTGTAAACACTGAGCTCGGCTCTGCTTTGACCAAGCTTTGTGCAAGGACTGAGGAGAAAACTAGATCAGACACAGGGTGGCCCTTGCATACTGGGAGCTCTTAGGCTGCAGAGAAGCCCAGAATGATGTACACAAGGGCTGGATGAAGTGGTAGGGGAAGGGGGTTGGAGCATGAGAGAGAGAGTGGGAGATGGATTCTGCCATCTGCCGCGGCTTGTGCAGAGAGCAGAAAGGGAGCAGCCCTGAGGGAGTGTGTTGGGGACAACACATTTCAAGTAGGGTATTCAGTCAGAGAAAATTTGAGCCGTAAAACCAAGAGGGAGAGAACAGGGGCTTGCATCAGCCTGCCGGGAGCCCTCAACACCAGGCTGAGTGTTAAAATGGGTCAGCGCTCAGCTGGGAGCTGGGGAAGGCTGTTGCACACTGTGTCGTGGTTAGAGAGTAGGAGTGCAGAGGCAAGAAGAACCCCCTGGCTGGCGACTCTAAGAGTCCAGTGAGTTATTGGCAGGAGTGAAGTGAGTTAGGGATGAAAGAGCCAGAAAAGAAGGAAGATGTGGAGGAAGAAACAAACTTGATAAAGGAGAGAGTGGCACTAGATGTGAAGCCAAGGTTCAGATACCACTAATTCCCCATCAGAGAGCCTCTCTGGAAAGACCCTCACAAGTGCCATGTTCATATCTTTTTCTTTTTTTTTTTTTCTTTTTTTCCCCCTATTGGGTACGTGCACTCACAGGAGAGAGAAAGAGAGAAATCATCCCCCATGGGTACGGCCACACCACAATCCCTTCTCCACCATTCTTCTCAGAATTTTGAGCATGCGTGCACATGTGCCCAGCATGATTTTCAAGCCACCAGGTCTGGGACTTGAACTGCAAAGTCAGTTGTGTGGAATCCAGCCACCTTAATCACCATGCTACCTGCTGGCCCACAAGGCTCATATCTTATGGCAGGTCTTGGCAGACCACACAGGAGCCATGAGGTGTGAAAGACAACCTTCCTCCCATTCCCCCTTCCCCTGTGAGACTGGGGTTGTCAGGCACCCCTAACAGCCACACCTTTCGACCTTTAGGTATCAACACCTCCAGCTGAGGGTCTCCTCAGCATCTGGCACCCACATGAAGTTTAGCTGAGCTGTTCAGTCAGTAGCAAAGGGACCTGGGATCCCAGAGCAGGATCCTCTATTAGGGCAGTTGCTGCCTATTCCTCCTCAGTCCATGGAGCCAGTGGCTACACCAAAGCCATGCTGCCCTTCCATGGCTGAGAAAGGAAGTGCAGTCACTGATGCAGCTGGGTAGAGGGACCCTGTCACTCAAGACTGGGGTCTCTGGACTGGAACTGGCTATTTACTGACAGTCAGCGGCTTACTTTCCAGGTCATGATCAAATGCAGGAAAGCCAAACATGCCGACCAGCCCGTAATGCATATTCATCTTTTCTTCCTGGAAATCACGTTCTGGTTTAACAAACAGGGCAACCTGGCAAGTGATGTAACTAACACTTCATCGCTTTCTAATCAGTCTCAAGATCCCCTCCCACTTGCCTACCCCAGGATTTCAGGTCTGCAACAAGGATTAGGAGTGGGATTCAGGAGGGTGACACTCCTCTGCCCCCATCCCATGGCCACTCTAAGAGTCTCCATAACCTTGCAGAATGAAGACTCATAAACTGGTTACTGTGAGATATATTTAGCCCAAAAGCAACATAGTATTGAAAAAATAGAATATTTTGAATAATAATGTGCATCGTTGTCATCTCTCTCTTTAAAAGAGAGAGAGAGATTTTTGCTATAAGGTGTGTGCAGTGGCCAGGGAGAGAGACACAAAGCGAGAAGTCACCTACCAGGGGGATGGCCACGCCATAATCCCTTTTCCTCCATTCTCCTCTCAGGATTTTGAGCATTCACACACATGTGCCCACCGGGTCTGGGACTTGAACTGTGGTTGACTACATGAGAGTTGAGCGACACAACCATTACACCATCTGTTGGCCCCCATTGGCATCTCTTTTAAAGCCAGAATATCTGGCAGCACTGAGGGAACTGGGCAATGCAGCCTGTAGAAAGGCTGTGAATGGTCAATGTTGTCTTGGGCCCACTGTCTCCTCCCTGTCATCTGCATGACTGCAGGGACCCTTGGATTGGGGACTTCTGGATTTTCTCAAGAGCCTTTACTTTGTGAGGAAATGTAGTCCTCTCCCTAACCCTGACCCATGGGGAGGACAGTGAGAGAGCTTTGGCCCAGCAGATAGGGCGGAAAGAGGAGGAGGAGGCCTTGAGGCTCCCAGATCCTGTTCTCACTGAAGCACAGTCCACCGCTTCTCAAGGCTTGGTACCTCGGCAGTCATAGCCACCTGCCTACCCGGGGGGCTCCCCACTCACCTATGCTTGTTTTTGCTCCCCTGTAGCGTCTGCACCTCAGTGAAGATGTGGCTGGGGCCACGTTCATGGCAGCGGGAAGCTCGGCCCCAGAGCTGTTCACATCGGTCATAGGTAGGTGATGCCTGGGGGACATCTCATCTCTTCACTGTCTGAAGGAAAAGGGCTCAGGGTACCGAGATTGTCTGCTACTGATAAAAAATG